TTTATCATCTACTCGTTTTGATTTTCTTCTACTTTTTAAAATATATATGTATAAAAAACGCATTTCTGAAGGCACACACGTATCTAGACACTATAAATTAAATCTAATTATTTTAAATTTTCTTACAATATAACTATACTATATATACTATCATAGAATATTATATTCTTTGATAGTATTGTACCGTCATCGCGTTAAGTACATACTATCGTCCAATGGTGGTCCCAGTGGTAACAAAAATGATGCTGGGTAGATAAAAAAGGGGACTTGTGAGTTTCTATATATTTCACCACAAAAATGAATAAAAAATATTTGATATAATAAAGTTGAGCAAATAGTGTACAAATAGTGTGCAAATAAGAGCATTTATTTATTTTTTCTGCTGTTAAGGTTCCTTGCTAGCGTTTCTACGGTTATTCTGTTGCATGTTTTCTCTATTTCATTAGGGGTTGTCAAAAAATGTGGATATCGAAATATAATATGTATTTATGATTATTGATAATCGCAGACTAAAGGACGTCTATAATTAATTGTCTGATTAATTATCTGTTATCAACCTACGTCGATAAGTAGTTTACTTCATGTTACCGACATATGTCGATAAGTAGCGGACTTAGTAATGGATTCCGTCGATAACTGTAGTACCTGTGAATTTTTATTTTTTAAATGTCTCATGAAATATTTTTTTTCTATAAAATCGAATTCCGTAAATATACACGTATTATATCCTTATAAATCTTTGGTATCTTCACTTTTGGCAATCCTAAGTACAATAAATGAACAAAATAAACAATAATGCCTTTCAATTATTTAATTATGAAAATCCCACAAAAAACATTTAATATTCGCGCTCAAGGATAAATAAATTAGAAATTTTACTTTTTATATAAGTAATCCAAACAAATAATAACTTAAGCGTTCTTGATCTGTTTTAAAGACCAATATTAAAATAATTTAGGATATAACTAGATAAATAATTAGAGATAACGATAAGATGTTGTTAAAGGAAGGAAGAGGATTGATATCTAAAGGAAACAAGGATGAGAAACCGACAATGCAGTCTCAGAATGAGCATACTAATTATAAGAGAAGTTATCTTGGCTAGGAAGTCGAAATAATGTCTATATATAGTACGTCGATCTAATTCCTTTAAACACAATAAGGAATTTCGAAACATATTACATTAAAGAGAAAGAGATGAAGTTAGAGAAAGAGAGAAAGGAAGACAGGGAAGAAAGGGTTAACTGAAAGTGGTCTTCCCTAAACAAATGTGCTCCTTCTCTTTTTCTTTCTTTCTCTTTCTCTCTCTCTCTGTCTCTCGCTTTAAACGCAAATGTGAGATGAGTTCTAATACAAAATTAGCCAAGTTAAGAGCAAGTAAGGGAAGAATAGTTCATAGACGAGATATCAGACAGAGCTTCCGAAGTTGTTTCCTTCTATGAACATAGAGAACACAACGTAAACCTTGTGGGATAGGTTCGCACTTCTACGTTCTCAATATTGTACATCCGTTATGTGAACTTCAACTTCCAAAGTCACTTATCCTCTTCTCTCTCCTTCCTCCCTTCGTTCGCTCTTTCTCTCTCTCTCTATCTCTCTTTCTCTTTCTCTCATATACATTTCTCCAAATTTACATTTAGTAAGTAGAATCCCAGAGTTGGCTTTCAAGCTTATTCGTGTATCTCTGTTGACCCACGAAACAATACCAAATAATTTCTATCGTTCAAAAGATCTTACAAGAGAGCTGACCACTATCAAATTGTTTTCCATTTATTAAAAATATCTCAACAATGCTCTTTAGCATGATAATGTTCATCATTATGAATATTAGTTGCTATTTATCGAGTATTTTCACGCGTATTTAAAATTAGTGTAGAAACAATCTTACCATTAGTTATTCACAAATGTAATATGTTTAAATGTCCTATAAAAGTATAATATGGATTTTCCAAAAAATTCAATCGTTAATTATGAAACTGTTTATTTTTATGATATTCCTTCTTTTTCATTCCAATTGATTTATTTAATTGAAATTAATTTTTATCTCAAATCTATCTAAATTTTGTTTTTTTCTTTTTAAATATTTCTCGAACAAAATACAAATTACTTGTATTTTATTTATTGGAATGGAAAAATAAACTTTTAATTTTTATTAGTTTTTTTTTTTTTTCTGTTACTATATCGAAAAATATACATGTAGCGAATAAAATAGAATAAAAGATCCCGTTTTTTCATTGTACGATTGTAAAGCCATGTTATCTCGTCGATATTATTGCCAAAATTTTATTTATATCTCTCTGTTGTCCATTGTTTTCGTGTAAATTTGATTAAAACTCTGGCTCCACCAATATATATATACATACTATACATCGTGAATTTTATCACAGGCAAGCTTATCCTCCGTGCTGATGTTATATTGCCAGTGAACAAAAATTATAACCGAGAGCCAGGGGCCGATCGAATTTACAATTGACCGTCGAGTTGCGAAATATCTTGTGTACCTTACGATATCACGATAACTCTAAATTTAATCGAATTTCACGCTTAGTTTGCAATACTTCAGGCAATGTAATAACATCTCGCAAAGATATAGAAAAACAATATGATTTATTTAGATAGTCTCTGATGTTTTCCAATACTTTATGCCCTGAACATGAAACCGTTAAGCTTCATAATGCTACAAATAAAATATACGAATATTTCTTATCTTTTCAATTACATGTGCCTGTATCTAAATCTCTTCATCGGGTTTAGTTTGGTATTATGAATATTTTCATTTAGAACATGCATTTACATAAATCATATAATCTAATAATCGATACATGAGTTTTAAATTAAAAAAATATAGCTACTTGGATTTTTTTCCTTTTTTCTTATTACTTAGATTAGAGTTCATGAACTGATAAAAAAATTAAATTTTGTAAATTATTATTTTTCTTATTCTGTTTATTTTTATCATGGCAAGGAAATGATTTTTTATGATATAAAATGAATATATTTATATATAATTTTAAATCAGTTGAAAATTTGTAATTGTTACCGATACACGGTAAATGCAATAAACTTATTTAGTTTACGAACTGCTAGATGGCATTATATGAAGTTTCTCATACTAGAATTAAAGGATCCATATTTTAAGACACTGTACTTAGTGAGCAAACAGAACGATTGATATACCGTTTTTTTTTATTACCCAATTGGTTAAATATCCTTTAAGGATTTTTATAAGTTCTCGTTTCGATCACTACTAACAGTTGTCTATTTAACGTCATATAAAAACTTTACCTAAATTCACGAATGCACAAACCAAAAGTTACTACGTTTAACCTAATGAATATTCCATACGGCAGTATGATTTGAAAATTATTGCACAATTTTTGATAATATAATTATTCTGATTCTTTCTTATAAAAATGCAGCCGAAAATCCAGGTTTTATCTAGCATCGTAGAGGTAATATAACAAAACAAGCATATAAATAATATACATATAATTTTCTATGGTTAAAAAAATATTGAAAATTATGAATTAACAAATTAATTGTATAAAACATATTTAAGAATGATTGATTTGTAATACATTACTTCTTTTAGAGATTAAAAAATTTAACTACCCAAGCTACTGGTCGGTTATATGGAATAACACATAATGATACATTAACAATTATAACATTTAGTATTGATAATGATAGTAATGACGTTTTTAATATTCTATCATTTGAAAATTTTTTACCTACTAATGTTGATCCTTGTGGAATATTGTATATTGGAGAAATTGAACAAAACGTTCCTGACCCTGTAAAAGTAAGCAGAACATCATTTTTTAATATATGAAAACCAAATGAAATGGGTGGGTTGAAAAGTTGTAAATTTAATATTTGGTCAAACGAATTCTTTCTTTAAAAAGAAAAGTTCTTTTTTTTTTTTAATGAGGCTTAAAATTTTTCTACCCACCTTCGTAATTCTTTGTTGCACACAAGTATTGTTTTGAAATAATCATAATTTATATTTAAAGAACAAGATTATTCTGAAATATTCACCTGATATTACGAAAACAGAATGGTTTTTTTACAACAATGAAGAATTAGATCAATTATTTAATATCGAGATAATTAATGAAAATCAATTTGAAGAACAATTCGCATACATCAGAATACAATTAGGTATACCATTAATTGGTGAAAATAATCAAATATTAGATACATTGAAGAAGGTTAATGAACATGTAAGTCTTGCATAAAAGTATTAATTATTATCTAATATATATACATATTATTATTAGTCGTTGCTAATTATCATTTCAAATTAATTATACTATTATTGAAATAAGATTTCATCTGGAAAAGTAGCATTTTACTTTCCATCCAAGAAAATCTACCTTTTTAATAATAATAAAGATGATGATGTAGAAAATGCGAAACTCAAAGAACTTCTTCATTCGAAAACGAATGGTGGATCCATACATAGCATAGTTAGTACAAAGTATATTTAAAATCTTATTATATTTTTAATCTATTTAATTTTCTATTAAATGATACTTTTCATTGCTAGAACGCAATAAATGCAAATGCATTAATACAAATATCTAAACAAGAATCTTATACTGTATGCGAACATGCTCCAGTATTACATCAAACAAAATGTAAGTAACGCTTTGTCATAAAAATCTATAATATCGATAATATTTTATATCAATTTACAATAAGTCTAATATATTCTTTATATATTACAGATGCATTTGATAGTATAGAATATACGTTTAATATTGACAGACTAATTTTAATCGATCGTCGTGCATTTTCTATAGAATTACATAAAGCGTTAATCAAATCTATATGTCAATATATAAATGTTATAATAATGTTGTGGAAATCTAATCCTTCTATCTGCGAGAATTATGAAATCCCATTGGAATGGTTTAATTTTAAACCACGAAAGCTTGGACATGTATTAACAGTGCCTTATATAAATGGATGGAATGACGATAAAATGAGTAAGATAATTTATAGAAAAATACAGACTGTCCTGTAATTAATGATATAAGTGAGCAATGAATGATTCTATGATTCTGCAAAATGTAAAATACAATGTTTTCATATAAGGCTTTGTTTTAGAGAAAAATAAGTTTAAAACTTTGACGAGTACTCGCTTATACTATCAGTTACAGAACACTCTATATATATAAAAATGTAACCTAAGAAAAAAATATATAATACAAATCTTTCTTAGTTCCATGCATAAAACAATTGCACACAACATTAGCATTAGATTTAACAAGACCTTACTTCCGGCGTACAAACAGTATACAGTTTTCTAACGATTTACAAAACAATCATTTGATTATAAATCCTCACGAGTCAGTTCCAAGCATTAAGGGTATGTCTCTAACTTTGTCTTTATAATTAAAATGATTATTGTATAAAAAAAATAGGATATTGTATTAAATATTAATCTTTTTCATTAAGATGGTAAAACAAGTATTGTATATGGATTATATTCGTACCATCATTATATGCAAAATGATTTTGATGATAATGGGTGGGGATGTGCTTATAGATCTCTTCAAACTATTATATCTTGGTATAGGTAAGATATTAAATAATTTTCTATAAAACTTAAATTATGATTTAATCTATTAACATATTAACGTTATAGATTACAAGGATATACCAATATTCCAATACCGTCTCATAAGGAAATACAAAAGTGTCTAGTTGATATAGGTGACAAATCATCTAACTTCATTGATAGTAAAGAATGGATTGGCTCAACCGAAGTAGGTTTCGTTTTAGAAACTCTTCTTAAAGTTAATATCAGTATATTATGTGCTACAAACGGAGAGGAAATATCGAATTTTGCTTCAGCTATTGCGCATCATTTCGATACACAAGGAACACCAATTATGATTGGTAAGATTAGTAACAAAAGTAATCAATTTAATTATTTGAATTAAATTAAAATTTATATTTTTGTGTTTTGTTTTTTATTTTCTCATAGGCGGTGGAGTATTAGCTCACACAATTTTAGGAATTAATTATAATGAATCTACCGGAGAAGTTAAATTTTTAATTTTAGATCCACATTATACCGGTCCTGACAAGTTAAGCACTATAATAAACAAAGGATGGTGTGGATGGAAAAGTAAAGATTTTTGGAGAAGAGATTCGTTCTATAACATGTGCCTTCCACAAAGACCTATATGTATATAATTTAAAAATAATCTAATATATTAAATAAAATATATATAAATATATCAATGAATTTAATTGTATTATTTAAAAGATGTTCACTGTATGTTTAATCTATATTTATTATAATTTAAACATTGTAATATAAGACAAAATTTTATATCATATTTAAATTCTATTCTTTTAACTTTAAAAACATATTACATTTTTATGCTGAATGCTAATTCATGTCATATTGTGTTAAAATAAATACGTAAATTTATAGGATAATATTACACGACTTTATGAATCAATGTTAATAAATTTTATATATATTCTATTTTACTTTCATCAATTCACACAATATACATTAAATAATTTCATTATTAAATTGTATATATGAATGTGTATAAATATACACCAAATAAAATACATTCTATATTCCACCAGATTTCTGTAACAACTGGGCAAACCGGGAGGTAATAAGTAATGAAACATCAATAAATCTGTCGACACAATTATTTAAACATGTTTCTGTCCGACTGTCCAATTTATTTCCTGGTTTATCAACGCATTTATCCCAACATAACTCATTAAACTCATGAATCTAAAATAAATGCCATTAAAGGTTAGTACAAGCTTATATATATGTAAGATCTTTTTTAAATTAAAAAAGAAAAAAAAGCATGCACATTACTAATTACATAAAATATTAACTGTAAATCTACTATGACGGGTCAAATGAACCTTTTTAAACTTTCTGGCAGAATTTCTTACAGGTTATAGTGTTATTTTATGAATCAAAAATTCTTATTGTACAAATGGTATATTTTTTGTTATAAAAACTCGCTATGTTTAGTATTAATAATATAAAAAAGATAAATATAATAGGCATTTATATTGTCATTTAAATTCAATACTAAATAAAACAATAGCGAAAGTATAAAGCAATTAATATTCTAACTACCTGAGCATTAAATCGTGCCGTCTCTTCTTGAATGGTTAAAAATTCCTGTAATTCAGTATCAGTATTTTTTGGTTTGACATCATCGTCAAGAGAAGTACTGTCAAGAGGACTATCTAGTAAATTTGACATGACTTAACAATTATTGTACGAATCCTTTTCAATAATAATTTGTAATATTTATTTCAACCTCACACATGTGCTAACCAACCAACTTCGGGTCATATAATGCTTCGATATCTCGATAAATCTCGATGAGAGAAAAATTAAGGCGAAAAATGTTCTGTCTTCTAATTGGCTATATTGAGAAATATTGTGTACTTCATACAAAGATTTAATTATTACATTATACGAAATATCAAAAATGTATTATTTTTAATATTTTATATCTTAATTTTTTAAATCAAACAATCTAACACGCGCTACATTATTTGAGAGCATATATATCACTATAGGAAGTACACAAGTGTACATACTTTTAAAATACGTACGAATAAATTATATGTAGTACAAAAACTATTTTTAAATTCTTACTGAACCAATTGTTCAAGCTTGATTTTCTCAAAAACGAAGCTACGAATAAAAACATTTTATTTTAATTTTTACACAATCTTATGTCAACTTATATATACCTCATGTCCCAGCTAACTCAACCACCTTGAATATCTCGCTTATTTTTAATGATAGAAACAAATACTATTGACAAAAATCAAAATTCTTAAGCGCTTTGAACAAAAAAATATGTAATGAACTAAGATCAAATGAACGCAGAGGCCTTAGTACTTTTTTTAACGTCATCATAAATTAGAATCATGTTATTTTTTTTTGCTCCACTCAAGAATTCTATATTTCCACAAAAAAATGAAGCTCTCAAGAAACTTATATTTACTAATATTAAATAAGATTCAATTCGTCGCTTATAACGTGTTCAATTATTTTGGGATTTTCCTCAAGATCACACCAAGGTCATTGAGATCTTCACTTCTATTACTACGCCATGATAATAATAATATTTACTCTCGTTTAAAAAAGATCGACAATCTGAAATCTCAAAAAGTATGGCTTTGAAAAATGTTTGCATGTTATTTGCCTTCTAACAACAAACAATTCTTACCAATAACACTTTTCTATCAATTAAAATAAATAGGATTTCCAAGTGGTGAATTTGTTGGGACACCCGGTATGTACATGTTATTTGGCCGGATCTTGCATATAATAACACGCTATTTATATACATTATTTATTTTGAAAATTGAGGTACACTGGCATAAAATCATTGAATATTATAACTATAACAAATTACATTATATCTTAGCTGACCAGAAAAATTCAATATGCATATAGAAGTAAACCAATAAGGATCTGAACAGATGTAGAGTATTTTAATTTCTTTGAGCTAAACTGCTATTTGCGGGTGCAACAGACATTTCTCCTCCTTGCGTATTATCACGCTGTGGACTCTGTATGAACGAATTTTTCATTAACTATGTAGATAACAAAAATAATATTATACTTAAGAAATAAACACGAGGAAGAGGATTATTATTACCTTTACATGAATTTGTTTCTTTAACATAGCAGCTCTCAAAATTAACATGCGTGTACGTCTCTGATATTCTTTACCAAAATAAACTGATTTTTCAAATGTTGTACTCCGTTGATCTACATCCTTGGCATATAAAATCTAAAATAATTATAATTAGATAAAAACGATGATGTTTCTTTCATTAAGTATAATTACCTTGTTATGAGAATCAATACGAGCTTGAATTTGCCCATCGAGAATAAGTTGCATCAATTCATCTTCTAATTCGGGAACCGTTCTATTAAATGCAGTTGCCATTCGTCTCATATCAGCGCTCAGATACGGACTAAAGTACTGGATCAGTGCTCTATTACGAATTTGTGTGTATAAAACATTTACATGTGGTGCTATATAAATATCTAGAAGTATATTATCTTTTATCTCATCAAGTAGTTTTAAGCAAGACGCATATTTTGATTCATAAAATTTAAAAATTATATCTCTTAGCTGCGGTTCAAGTTCAAGAAATAATTTGAACGAACTACTGAATATAACTTGTTTTTGTAACTCATGTCTATCAAAAGTAGCCAATGCACAAAGGCCCCCATAAAGTGCTACATTTCCAGGTGAAAGTAAATCAGGACAGTCGCAATGATCTAATGACGCCTGAAGAAAATGTTTAGCAGCCATTTTATATTGTCTTGTAGCTAATTCAGCTAATCCAGCAGCAACCTTTAATTTAGTTATTATAGTCTGACTACTGTCTTTGCTATGAATATCTGGAAAATCTGGGGTACTTTCGGCCTTGGTTACATAGCTAAGTACATGTGACCAATTTTGTAAATAAACCGAAACCTTAATTACATTGAAGCACATATTAACAACGTGTTTGCCACTGGTACAATAATCTCGTGCTCTGGAATAACATTTTAAAGCATTGACAAGATCGCCACAATCCAAGTAATGATCTCCTAAATCATCATGACCTCTTCTTATGCTTTCTTTAATCGAATTACTTTTGTAATTTTTGAGATCTGTATCAAATTTCTCTAATTTTAAAGCAGCCTTTTTAGTACGAGATTCTAGCCACATTTGATCTACTGTTAACATATCTTGAGAAGTCGATTGGGCAGCAATATCGGGTAATCCAGGTGTACCAGTACACTGAAGAAGCTTTTTATGTAAATTTGTATAAAGATTAACATTATAGGTAGTCATCACATAAGAAATTGCCATCTTTAATGCTTCTACTTTTAATACAGGACAATGATCTGCTATGTAGACGAGCCTATATAATCTAGCAAGGCCGGTATAGCTGTTGGCATAAACTTCCAAATCCTGAAAATAAGTATATAACTCATGTCAATGCGACATATATATCAATATTGAATAATTTTATTAATCTATACAACAAAATTTCTTATATCAATGACGACTATTTTTATAACGAAAATATAATAATAAAATTTCGAAATTAATTTTTAAGGTTATCTTTATTGTTAGCACATACCAATGTTGGATTTTCAACGATAAAGGGTTCTTCTTCGGCATTATCATTATCTTCTGCCGGAACATCAACTTGCATAGGCTCTACCATGTTTTGTTGTATAGTAAACATATCATATGTATTAATTTAAATTCAAGAACATCAACATTATACTAATCCACGTAGGTCCGGAAAAATTCTATATGATGTTTCGTAAATAAGTCTTTATGTGAATAGAAAGAATCTGTCCACCCTTCCAATATCTATTGTCTTATCTATCTAGATTTTCGAAGATTCACATTTATTAACTGTAGCTGTACAATAACTATGGATCTAGAGAAAAATCGTATATTATATATATAATATACGAAAGAAAATCAAGAATGTAATACATACGGTGAAGGAATGTTAGTAGTTTTTATATATCTCGTTAATTCTGTCAAATAGAACTTATTCTTTTTCAAATACAAAAACAATGGTGCAATAAAATAAATAATATTATTTGCATCCACGCGGAATGAATAATATAAAATGATTATATATAATTATATGATTTAAAATGAAAATAATAGCGTATTGTACACTAATGCAAGGACGATTAGTTGCGCTATCTACAGTTACAAAAGCTTACTGCACGATACCATATTTCAAATCTATTGTATATATTTACATAGCATTATATTGCTCAAATATCAAGGTTAAAATATGAAAAAAATTATTAAATTGATTATTATATTTTTTCTTCATTTGATTTGATTAAGTTTTATATACTAATTTATCAATTTATATATGTAATTTAAGTATCCTGATCGCATAATTGTATAATATATTATAATATATTCTTTAAAAAGGACAAGATAATTTATATCTTGTATAATAATGTTACCATTAAGTAATTAATAAAATAGTATTTAAAATATCACTATTTGCAGTCCTAGGAGATAACGCATGCACACACTCATTGGCTCATACACGTAATTTGAATGAATGAAAATATTTATAAAAAAGATAATACAGAGTTTATTCTTGTTGATTTATAAAATAACATTAATTTGACAAAACATCTAATTGTAAAATGCAAAGGACGTTTAAAAGATCTTAAATGTACGATGATATTCGATATTAAAATAATATTCCTTAGTTGTGTTCCTGTACATCTTGTTAAATACAGAAACAAAATATTTACAAATAAAAATTTATTATTTAAAACGTATATTATTACACTGTAGAGAAAATTGTCCTGAAAATGTTCACATATACAAAGACTTCTGCTTCATAAAAACTTGTCTGCTTACATAATGGTATACAACATTGTGTTTTTGCAATACGTTATTAAAACGTACACTTAAAAAAAGTAAAAAGCTTTTTGATATATTATCAAATAGTAATCAAACAGTTGCACGTTCAATGTTCTAACATATTCAATATGTATGTAAATTAATAAATGTTTAAAACACATATTAAATAAAAAATCAAATTTCTATCTTGCAACACACGTTAAAGTTTAATAGTTAAAGTTTATTATTTAAAGTTTATTTGTTAAAGTTTATTAGTTAATGTTTAGTAACGTAAATAATAATAAAAAATATGCCAGAAATATTAGAAAAGTAATATAATGTATGAACCCTCTTAGAGAACACTATAATAAGAAGCATATGACTAAGATGATCACATGTGAAAAGAAAGCACTAACATCTCTTATGAAAGATATACACTGGAACGATAAATTTTCTTTTAGTCCGTTTGTAAACTTTTCTGTTGCGTATTAATAAATTCTCAACCTCAACACGTTCCTCCTGTTTGCTGTTGATAAACTTCTATTGTATCTCCTTCTTCCATTTCAAGACTCGTCGGTGTGTCCAATTCATTTATGGGTTGTCCATCGAATCTAAATCTTACAGCTGCTATTGCTAAGCCCTATTAGGTAATAAAAATATCATTTTATCGTAAAAATATATACATAATAAGGAAGAACAATTAATTATAACTAGAAAAATTGTTGACTTACTACTCGATCACAGTAAGCATTCATTAATTTTCGAAGAGGTGTGTGCTTTTTAATTTTAAACTGTACTACTGCATTATCCTGGCCTAAAACTTTTAAATTTATATGCTCTGATTCAGTTTTTGTCTCCTATAAAAGAAAAAGCGGTTGTTCATCAAACTACTTAACCTTATACCACTGTAAACAGTGATATTTTTGAAGGTTATAAAGCGTTACCTTCTTTTCGTCCGACATGATTACGGTTTTAAAAACAGCGCTAATAATTTTTTCGAAAGATACTATAATTCTTAGAAAACACTTAATAGATAAACTATTAGATTTATCTGGTATATATCTGATATATTATGAATTTGATAAATATCCCGCTTCTAGCTTTATAGCAATACTCACGACATTTCGATTATACACGAAATGTATATATCACAGTTGGCAATACCTTTTTTTGTTAATGCACTTATAGTTACAAGAACCAATGAGACATCTGGATGACAATTGTGTACTTACAATGTATATCAAATAATTTCAAGAATTAAAATTTCATATTTCTATCAAATTTAATAGTCAAAATTAATAAAAATATTTTTGCAATTTTTTTTTATATATTTTCAGTACAAATACTTATATATATTTACCATTAATATCAATTTAAAATAACTAATATACTTAGGGCAGTATTGATGAAACATTAAAACACCGGAAACCACATTGACAGGAAATGGACAAACTGACCAATCACTGCAACAACCCACCAATAGACATGTCCAGCAAAGTACATGCGTCGCGGACTGACCAATCAAGCCATGGTGAAGTGACCAATGAAGGCACAAAAGGGATAGAACGAAGTTGCTTATAAAAAGGAGAAAATTTGGCATCGTTTGTTTAGTACGCGAAGAAAGCATATGTTGATGAATAATTATTGTAAATTTAAAACAATATTATCATTGTATATAGTGGAAATAGTAGAAAGCCATTAAACGTAACTAATTTTATGTGTAAATTTAAGAACTCAAGCAATCTATACTTACATTTCATGTTACGTATCATGAAAAGGGACTTTTAAAGTACATATGCAGGTATATACATATTATATGTTTTTCATATAACAAAGTTTTTATTTTACAATATGAAAATATAATATAATCAATATAATTCTTTTTGTTCAAAGCAGTTTTTAAATTAACTTCTTATCGTAGATCTTTAATTATTTTTTCTAAATAAAAAAAATAAAAAACAAGAGTCGTCATAAAATCGTACAGTCACAACATTCATGCGTATAATAAAGACAATTAATGAGACATTTATCGCATTTATTATCTTTCGACGACTGGCTTCCAGAATCGATATCGAATTCGACTTTCTTGTAACTCCTTTGGTTTTCCCAATGTAAATTTTGAAAAGTTGTACTTGCATTTAATGGCGCAGTATCAATTACATCATAACCTATGTTTTGATTTTGTTGCATTGGTGTAGATGAAAGAGTCGGTAACGAAGAGGACGGCATTAGCGACGTAGTAGCCATCTTTGTTTCATATTGAACTGCACTGGGTTTCTCGTGTTCGGCCCTCTTGATCTCGGCCATTTGCGTCGAATTGTTTGGCGATGATACTCTGATGATATAAATCCAAAATTTATCTTTTTTCGTGTATTTTTTCCCTTCCTCTTTCTATCTTATTCTCTTTCTCGTACAATAAAATATAAATGAAAAGAAGCTTATAAAAAAAAGTCCGAATGAACTTACTTGTAGCTGCCGCGTTCAGGAAATATTCGCTTGAGAGACATCTTTGATGTAAGAAAATTGCGGGAAATTTAAATTCTTTTACAGATTCTTTTATTTCAAAAGATTGAATGACTAAGGTAGATTAAACGTCGCTCGAATGACACACACAAATCTTTTCCTTAGAATTCGGAGATACTATCTTTATCTGAAGAACGATACAGATCTAATTAACGATATCTTGATTTATACGATAACATTACGACAAAAGAAAAACGAATTTGCAAAAAACCCAAGCGGCTTCCAGCCAGCGTCTTACCTGTTGGTTTCTTTTTGTTTTTTTTCGATAGAAAAAACATTAAAGTATTTACTTATCTATGCTCTCTCATACTTTGAACGAGCATAATATATGGATTGTTGAATATTTCTATTCTTTGCTACAAAAAAATAATTACATTTATAAGATTTTCTATTTGTATATACCCAAATAAATGAAAGTAATGGATATTAATGAAATTTATTAATATTTAATAATTAAAATTATATTATATATAATATATCTATCCAATTTGAATAATTGTAACAAACGATAAACGTAAATAATGAAACTTACTATTTTCCTTTTACGAAATTTTCCTTTTACTACTAAATACGTTCATAAATGAACATCAAGCACTATGGTAAAACGTTAAGGCGTTGCTTATTTGTGTGTATGTGTATCTCTTTACGGTAACACAAATATATTTTATATTTATTGAAAAACAACGTACACACACATATAAAGATCGTAATTTTAAAGTGCAATCACAAAAACGCCATACGATCATCGTTTGTGCGTGTGCGTCTTAAACAATTATGTATTCATTCATTTATACGCATGTCTCTTTTTTTTCCTTTTCATCTTAATGATTGGCAAAATTTACAGAACGTGAGATTACGTGATTAACATTATTATGATACGGTAAAGTTGATGATGCTAGTGGATTGACCGATTTAGTACACATCACAAATATAATTCGAAATTCCATTGGGTAAATAAATGTTTAACGTGTTGTAATAAGTTCATTACACAGAGCACCTTGCGAATAATCTTATTTTTTCCTTTTTCTTTCTTTTTTCTCTTTTTTTTTTTTTTTTTAATGTACATATTCTTATCTATCGGAATTGAGGCTTGCATAGGCCGTTAGATAGCGGTAAGATAAAATTCTTATCTTTTAAACATTCGTCTATAAGTAGATTTAACAGACGTATCGGTGTTTTTGCGAGTAAATGCTTCGGAGATCAGTCAAGCTAGATTTATGCTTCTTATCTATCAAAGGTCGCTAACTTCGAAATGATAATTCTTTTTATTTCCCAAAACTCGGTCAATTTTGTTCAAAAACAATGTTATTGATGTGGTAATCCAAGGCTTTAGTTCTTGTATAAAATATTAAATCACATTGTGAAACAACGTATAATCGTAAAAAAATTGTCAACGTAGAAACGTCGAATCATCTCGATTTATGGCAAATGAATTAGTATAATCAAATTCGTTTTGCTTTCATCATCTCTCCACAGTCATCTCTTTCTTAAAATGATTATAATTATCTTGAAAATTCTAATTCATCTATTCTCATACAGGACAGATTTAGTTAAAGGCTCATTGTACAGTATCAGATAATATCGCTAATATCTCGGTTATATATTATACTTTTGTAATCTTTCAGGAACTATCGATGCAATAAGTACGTGTACATATTTACTGATTTACTTACGTGCTCAATTAGGCGTATTGAATGATCTATTTCTTTTTAAAAACAAAAGTAAAAATAAATAATAATACAAATTTATGATTGACCGGAAAATAATACATTTAAGATTATTTTTGCAGTGCACAAACAATCAATTTTCGTGATGCAATTCGCTGAACAGTGAGCCCATAACTTTCACCTTCCCTGTATAAATATATTTATATATATATTTTTTTTTTTTCATATATTATATACACATGTATTATAATAAATGGCATATAATATAATTAATCTCAATTCTCCATGGCCAAGTCAATTGGACTTCTAATAACTTTCTAATTTATATATATGCATGTGCGTATATATTATATATATATATCCACATTTTATATATATTAGTTTTCTTATGTGATACTACTTTGAATATTCGTATAAACCCTGCTAAAATGGAGCCGTGCAAAATGAGACGGCGTTCCCTTAGTGGCCGTCCAAAGGAAGACATTATGATTCCGCGCATTTTCGAATTATTTATTTGATTTTTATTTTATCTACCTTTTTATATTTTTATTCTCATAGTTCCTTCGTATTATTCTTCTCTTCCTCGTTTACTTTTGTATCTTATTCAATTAAATAAATTAATTAGATAAATAAATAAAAAAAAAAAATAAATGAAAACAAATCGGTCATAGTTTCTTCTCCTCAACACGGCCACCATATATTTATTCGTTTATTTATTTATTATTTTTTCTTTTCGTGCCCATTTTCTTCTTAAATTTGTATATAATCTCGAATAAAAATTCTCACCTTTTTCGAGAGTTAAACGGCCGTAAATTTTCTCATAGAGAAAATGTGTCATCTATGTATGTTGCATGTACGTATTAAATACTTATGTATTTATGCACAACGAATTAAGTTGTGAACAAATAAATAATATCTGTGCGTTAAAATATTGACTGACGTGTGCTCGTAAATGTTACGGGAATAATGTATTATACAGTATATATATATATATTCTTTTTCTTTATAAGAAATAAAAAGATGAGTGCAATAAAAGATTTTATAATCGCTGAGAATCATGTGGCTATTAGTCACATATTTTTTTTTAAAATTTCAACAACTTCTCGATCTCTCATTATCTTTATCTCGTACATACGTAACAAAAAAAATGACGATACTATTGCCTTTCTTCCTAATTTTTCTTGTTCTTTTTACACAATATCATATATAAACAAGATTTTACATCTACGAAAACAAAGGTAAATCATTCAAATTGAAAAATTTATCATAATGATTTCTTGTCTTTTTAATTTCCCTTTTACGGATTTGAGTTACTTCTCTACTAACAAATTCTCATACTTATTCAATACTACCTAAGAGGTCGCATTTTTTTACTGCTTCTTTCTGGAATCAATAGCACACGGTTTTTCCGAACAAGTCACCCATCCATTTTACTAACCATACCCACGTTGCTATACTTTAATGATCTGCCGGAAACTAGTAATCCAACGTGACTTTTCCGTTAACTTATACTAATTTCGTAATTTTTCACTTTATGTAGTTTCGAATTGTTTTAAAATTCTAATTTTGCCATTTTCTTTCAATTTTATAGAAAATGACGTTAACAATTTGTCATATTTTCATTATCATATATAATCATTGAAATTCATTCTAATTTTATCTTCTTTTTTCAATTCTACACACACAGAAGATTACTTTATAACAATTTATTATATAAATTATAATCGCGCAAATGTGTCGTTAACATTGTTTGTACGATTTACATTAACGCCTTCATCATTGTTAAATAAAAGATGTCTATTTTTTTTTTTATGTTTTACTATGTGCGCGTGCGTGCATGTGTATATTATTTTTTTTATCGTTCTTCTTTTATCTTTCTTTCTCATCTAATCTTTTTTTTACTTTCGACGAGAGTTTGAAAGTTTCATATGAATTTTTAAAGAAACAAATAATAGTTACGAGCTTTCTGTTTCTCTCTCTCTCTCTTTCTTTTTGTTTGCAATATCTCTTAATGTGCAGTAACAGTAAATTCTGATCAATGAATTATTATTGCTATATAATAGAAAAATTCTAATAACAAAAACAAACATATACATATGTATTTTAAACATGAATTCATAGAAATTATATAACAGTGATATATTATTATCCATGACTAGCGACAGTGAACATAATATTTGTAAAAAATAATTTAGCAATTAACTTGTTCTCCCTCTATCTCTCTCTCTCTCTCTCTCTCTCTCTTCCGTTCTTTTTTTACATACGTATATTACATATATGTATGTATATAAATAACTTGTGCATCAGCGATAAATGTCTGAATAATATTTTCAACGATAACAACAAAAAATGTGTCGTTAACTCTATCGATATTTTTTCTTTTTTTTTTTCTTTTTCTTTTTTTTTTTTTTTTCAATTAACTAATACAAAAAATTATTTTTGCACAAGTTAATGTTCAAACAATTAATTGATTTTCTATTAATTATGATAAAAATAATAATAATAATAGTAACAGTATTCACATAATTATTAATTATTAATGAGAATAAAAAAAAAACGATACAAGTTTTATCGCCATAGTCGTCCTTGAACGACATAACGGAATCGTCCGTACCGTAAAAACGTTTAATATCACTCGTATAGTTTATTTATAAAGTACTATCGAGGAAAGATTGACGGCTAATTTTTCTTTAACCGTCAGAAAATAATAATCAAACTAAGGCGCAACTTATCGAGAGAAAAGAAAAATAAGTAGAGAAAGGAAGAGGTATATATAAGGGAAATTGAAGATTTTTCTTTCTCTCTCTCTCTCTCTTTCTCTTTCTCTACGTATATATATGCAAATATCTTTGATATCAATTGACATTAAATATGATTATTTTATGACGATTTCAACAAATTTTTGTTTACGTTTATTATCTTTCTTTCTTCCTTTTTCTTTCTTTATCTTTATCTTTATTTCTCTCTCTCTCTCTCTCTCTTTTTCTCTCTTTCTTTTTCGAGATTGTATCTATAATTATACGGACAGAAAATAATAGGAATAACATTTTGGCGCGCAATATCTAAAGTTAGAGTAAATACGATGTTATTAAAAAAGACAACGAAAACAATGAAAAGATAGAGTTTTGTTGTTGCGAGTGAAAGTAATAGTAAATTTCTTTTATCTTGAAAACATCGTATTTAACTAAAAAAAAAAACAAAAAAAACAAGTAAGTATTATGATAACTAAACATTCAGATTAGTTATCTCATGTGATGACTAGATAAAAACAAGAAGATTAAAATCGACCGATTAATGCTTCCCATAGCATTTTTTTAAAGTCGAGATACGGTTGATGAAAAATTTCGATTCATTTTCACAACCCTTCTTTTTTCTTCTTCTTCTTCTTTCTCGATCGACAACATTCAAAAATACAATCCAATTAAGGACGAGTCGGATGTGTCGAATAAAATCATAATCTCGATGAATTAATCATCTTTAAATTTGTCTTATTCGTTCGACATCAATTGAACGCTATCATCAGCTGATCTGTGAAGTCGACGTACCTCCGAAAAGCTTCTTATCGGAGTTGGGTGTAACAGTGAGAAGGTATGCGAGTGCCGATCTGAAAACAAATGAAAAGTAAACAAGAACAAATTAATTATAAATTAATATTATTATTTTCTATTTACAATATTCGCGCGAAAACTAAATATTTTTGTATGTATAAAAATTATACAGGGTAGTAGGAAAAAGAAATATGATATTTTGAGGACTTATAGTGTTCGCCGAAACGAATAAAAGACGTTTAATTTAGACGGGTTCTAAAATATATCTTTTCAGTTTAAAATTAAATTTTACATAGTTAATTGCTTGGACGGTAAAATTTTAATAGTTTTGGAATAAAATCAACTTTTATTATTATTTATCGAACTGGATAAATATTTACTAAGAATTTGCAATGTTTAAATCTACGAAGTAATTTGTGTTAATGTTGGTAATATATATATATATATATATAGTTAGACATGATAAATAAATGTATTATAAATTATTATTATTATTATTATTTTGTACATCATAAGACAATAACAATCTACGATAAAAAATGAATCTCTTGACAAAATGAATGTCCGATAAAGGAATACGCTTATATCAGATACGAGTCTGAAATTGATAGAAAAAAAAAAAAAAGTAAGCGTGGCATATTTTTTTTTCGCAAATAGTAACTCGTTCGAAAAAGAATAAGACCGATCGAAGAAGCAGAGTTGAGAGGTGGTGGGAAGTCAATCAGGATTAAAATGGGAAGGATATGACCCCAAAAGACGGCGTAGAGAAAATATATTTACTTAAAATGCATTAATATCGACGTATATCGACTAATCGTTTATACGGTTTTAAAAATAAAAATACAGTGAAAAGAAACAGAAAGGGAAAGAGAGAGATGCAAATATATTTATAAGGCAGACAATTAAAAAAAGAGAGGAATACTTCCGTTTTATCTAAATAATGCATAACAGCTATACATCGAGAAGGTCACGGATATCATCTTTTTACGTCATTGTAATAAAATTTTGATGACATTTCACAAAAACTCGCCCCCGTTTTAATCTGTTTTTAGATAATCCGCATTTAAACGAGATAATGATTCTAAAGATTGGCCGATAATATAAAATAGAAGAACTTTTCCTGCTTCGTATGAATAATAAATCTCTTTTTGGAATGATGAATCATATTGATATAATATCACTATATAGATACACACACACACACACGAAGAAAAACTTTGTCGTATTTTTTATTAGGGAATAGAACAACGAAAATAAAGAAGTGGACTTTAATAATAAATCGTTATCGACAAAATTTAACGAAGATTCGATCGAACATTATTCTACAACCTTAAAGTCCATTCTCTTTCTGCTTATATTTTTTTTTTTTTTTTTTTTTTTTTTTTTTTNGTTATCGACAAAATTTAACGAAGATTCGATCGAACATTATTCTACAACCTTAAAGTCCATTCTCTTTCTGCTTATATTTTTTTTTTTTTTTTTTTGTTATTTTTTTTTGTTTTAAAGCTCACCTCTTATATCCGTAGAAGGTTCACTCCTTGACAGTTCTTGCTCGTTTCTCCTATGAGTTCCACAATTTTGGTTATGTCGGGAAAAATCAAACGCCGTTGAATGTGGCCAGGAGGCCGGGGGTGGACTACGCACTAGGTGCTCGTGTACTTGGGCCAGGGTCAAAGGGTCCGTGTCGCATAACTCCTGAAAGTTATTTTAAAAGAGAGGATCGTGTTATAAATACTTTTATTTACAAAATAAAAAGTAATATGAACGCGTACAATAATCCTTTTTTCTTTATTTTTATTTTTATTTTAAACTTAATAACATAATAGTTGCTTTTTAATAATACGAAAAATTTGTTTATTTATTTGTTTGTTTGTTTTCCTAAGAAAATAAGAACGTTATATCGTAATCATATTTTAAATTCAGTATTTCAATAAAAACAGATCAGTCTAATTTCTCTAGAAATTTTAAGATCACATTTGTATTATACATCGATATTCTTTACAACAATGTCCTATCTGATACGAATAACTGCACCTTTTATACAAATTATTGCTCACTAAATGCACATTGTAAATATTAATTATTTCGCGAGTTATGGATAGTCAAAAAATTGCTAATTTTCAACCCTGACACGAATTATGATAGCACAGAAAACCTACGGCAGTAAGAAACTATTATATGCAATTAATTGCTCACTAAAAGCTCATTGTTAATCCATAATCAATATTATATGTGTTTTATATATATACATTTATAATTTAATCTTTACAAGTACTTACTTGAGACATAAGATTTGCATCGTCTGACTCTGATTCTCCGATCGATTCGACAAGACTCTCGCGACTGGCCAATACCTGAAGACAAGAAAAGATAAAGGTGAGAAGAAAAAAAAAACTAATAAAGGTGACTAAGATAAAAATAACAAACTATCACCCTCCTTTTGTTATTTTTTCTTAATAATTTGTATACTATTACTGTTAAAAGACATAGGGTAAGGGAAAACAGAAAAAAAAAAAAAGAAAAGAAAAGAAAAGTGACAAAGTTGAAAATAACAAACTACCTCCATTTTATATCCTTTTTTTAAAATATCGTTATAATGTTACTGTTAATTACTTGGCATTATTTGCATTCTAATACCTAAATAAAACAAAGTATAGAAGAATAAAAAAAAAAAGAAAAAAAGAGATAAAAAGAGTAATAAAATTAAAAATAAATCATCCCTTTTCAGACGCAGAGGATACTTTTATCTTTTTATTAGCATTGTCCTACTATTATTATTAATAATTGAACATTAATTATTGTACGTCTCATTATGCTTTACTTTGTTCTTTTCTTATTTACTTTTTAT